TAATACAATTGCACAAACCTTCTCAATATGCACGCCCAAATATTTGCTAACTGATTAAAAGTCAAAGCTGTCGTGCCCCGAGCCACCGCACGGAAACAATTGCGAGGCCCGATCTGAATAATATTAGTCGAGCGGATCATACGCGTGAGCGATCACAGAGAGCTATGGCGGCTTCAAGACGGACGTAAAATTATAAGCGAAGCGGATTATAAATACGACTCATATTATAAAAAAAGTATTCTACTCTTATGAGATTATTTAGATCTGACGTTATTGTGATTCTTCGGATACGAAAAACGTTTCAAATGCATTTGTTATTTTCTACAAAAAATGCACATCTTACTTCTTACTAACTTATTTATAAAGGCGGAGGTTTAAATGGATGGATGTTAGAAGGTATTTTAAGAATGGCTACATAGATTTTGATGAAATTTAGTCCAGATATAAAGAATACTATGTAGAAGAACACATATTTTATTTGAAAAAAAAACCATTTTATTCTGCGAGGTATGGTAGCACGCAAAACGTTCTATAACAATAAAAAAGATTTGCGCAACAAGATGAGTGTTGAAACCGAATCATCGATAATAGTAATTCAGCAATACTATTAACTAATAGTTAACCAAAAACTTTCGATATAATTTTGCGAATTAAAGTATTTACGACTTTCCACGTTTAGATTAAATAGTTATAAACGCTCTTAGTTTATGTGTTAGACAGCAAATACGATTGATGTGAGGAAAACGTGTTGACATTAAACACAAAGTAAACTAAATTCTAAAGTTGTATAGGGATATAGATAACAACTAGATTTTGGTAAGTATTTCGAGATTAATTATTTTGTTAGTCAAGTTGTAATAGCCCTTTCATGTATCCAGTTTGCAGCTCATAGGGATAGCGTGAGATACTTACGAGTAATGGTCGATTCATATCATTAGGTGACTTCGCCACCACGTTCCTATACTAAAAGAAATTATAAAGATGATAAAGAGAGACTTTCTCCGTCTTTCTCTCCGAGCTAAAGAAATACCGCTATACATCCGCGGGTAATTCAAAAAAAACCATTATTAGTAGCCTATGTGTTCTTTCAAACTATGTTTTATATTTATGCCAAATTTCATCGAGACCCGTTGAGCCGTTCTGGAGGTACCTTCCAACAAACATCCCTCCATCTAATCATTCGCATTTTTAATATTAGTAACATTACTACGATTGTAAGATGTTGTTTATGAATAAAATTTAAAAATAATTAAATTTCATCTGGACTTGATCACGAGAGTGTACAGTAAACTTTAAATTACAGATAATTAAAAAACAAAGCCTGCAAAGAAATAAGAAAACAAAGGCCCGTAAAGAGTCGGAGGGAAATGGCAATCGGTTGTTTAAGTAAAACAAAGAAGCAATTAGTGCTCTCTAGTGTTGCTGCGAACAGGGGAAGGGGGAATAAATGCGCAATCTCCCCCGGGAGCGGACGGTAAAAGATTTCGGCGAGGGGAGTGACGTGTCATGGCTTTTTTCTCTTAAGCGCTCTTTTATCGGAGACGATAAACGTTGCTGTCATTGGCTTTTGTTTTAAGGCGATTGCGTTTTTTTTATTTATAACGCGTTTGGCTTTGATCATTTAAAGCTCGCTACACACTTTCTCTTTCAATTAAAAAGTTGTAAATGCAGTAAGAATGTCATATTGATTAGATCGGCAGTTGGATTGTATAGTTCCTAGTATTACCTGCACACGTCTTTTCTAACTGTACAGTTAGGAAATCTTATTCATGCATGTGGTTGAAATGTTACTACTGCATTGTATTGTTAGGTTTCCAATGAAGTTAAATAAAGTTGACAGTATTAGGGAAAGTAGTTAAAATTTTCTTCTGTGAGAATGTTGATAATAGTCTTTAAGTAACCGAAAAATTTTGTTATTGAAAAGCAATAATCATATTCAAATCATAACTCATTTCGTGACATTGTTACATGTATCTGTTGCCCGCGACTTCGTCCGCATCGAATAAAAAAAACTTAATTTGTAATAGCTAGTAGCCTATGTGTTCTTCCTGACTACGTTCTACTCGTACATTTGGGCTTAATTTCTTCAAGATCCGTTGAGCCGTTCCGGAGATACTTTCTAACAAACATCTATTCATCCATCTACTTACTAAGAAACAATTTCTCTTGTTCTTTTTATCGTTCCAAATCCACTTAAACAAACAATTGATAAATTAACAAGATCGCTCCCGCCCCCTGTACAAACGGTTGAAATAATTCCGGGGACTTTTTTGCCGGGAAAAATAAAAATAGGGGAGACAGGATTATGCCCCGGGCGTATCTAGATGTGACAGATTAGCTCGTAATTTCCTTCAAATTGATATCTCAAAAGCGTATTTTCTCCGTTTTTTTTTCTTTACCCCACACTTTGAAATATTGTTAGTCATCGCCGTTTATGGGATAAAGAGCTTGAGGAAATCTTTGACGTAAATTGGGTGACGTTGGGTAATCTTTATAAGATTTTTTTTTCTTTTGGAATTTATGAGTTCAGAAGTTTTCTAACATATTTTTACACTATCTTTAAAATATAAACAAAATGTTACTTTTGGACAGGGGTATAAAACTTTTACATGTTGCCATTTTCTCTAGAAATATTTAATTAAAAATGTGCCATTTAATGATTTTAACTTAGTGAATATTGGGTACATTTCATAGCGGATTTTGTTTTATACTTTTATACTGCGTTATGAATTTTGCTATCAGTGACGTGTACAAAGTATTCTGTCATGTGCCAATGGTTTGCTATCCCTGCATTCGTTTATAGAAAAAAATAAACGATTAATCTACTTTACCATTCAAATGGAACTATGAATGAATACTAGAATACCTTTGTTAGTTACTAAGAATATCATAGACTTTGCTCTTAGACTATTGATTCTATATTACACAATATCGATGTTACAAATCGATTTTAATTACATTAGAGAGGTTCCAAATCGAATCAATGAGTTACTATGAATCATAGAAAACGTCTAATGTAACTTACATTCGTGATTATTTGGTGCCACGATTATTGCTATGCCACTGATATAATGCAAACTTTGTCAATTTATAATCCAACTGTGTTATACAATTAAAAAAACAATTTGATAACACATATTAATTCAACTTAAATACTATGTGTAACGCATTTGTTTATTTGATAAAATTTATATAATTTTTATTATAATATTTTCTTTTAGTCACGTCCTACTGTTTGTTCAGTTCAAAATTAACAGTTTATGTCTAGCCGAGTTAAAAAATGACCATATTCACA